ACTCAGGAGGCTGAGGCAGGAGAATTGCCTGAACCCAGGAGGCGGAGGTTGCGGTGAGCCGAGATCGCGCCATTGCACTCCAGCCTGGGTAACAAGAGCAAAACTCCGTCTCAAAAAAAAAAAAAAACTTTGTTTATTAAATATCAATTACTTTGAAAGATAATGCATAAATGGTTTATTTAGTAAAGATCACAAAAATAGGATCAAATAAAACAAGAATAGAGCTTGGGGATAAGTGGCCAAAAATATATATATATTAAAATATGTAGTATATAAAATAAATATTTAATACATAATCAATATAAAAATAGAAATAAAGCAATTCATCCTAAAGTTGGTTAAATGGACTTGGAATAACATTTCTTTTGTTTTTTATTATTTTTATCATATTTTATTTTATTTTATTATTTATTTTTGAGACAGGCTCTCCCTCCGATTGCCCAGGCTGGAGTGCAATGGCATGATTTTGGTGCACTGCAGCCTCAACCTCCTGGGCTCAGGTGATTCTCCTACCTTAGCTTCCTGAGTAGCTGAGACTACAGGCATGCACTACCATATGCCCGGCTAATTTTTTTTTTTTCTTGAGAGATGGGGTCGCTACCAGGCTAGTCTTGAACTCCTGGCCTCAAGCAACTTTTCCTCCTCAGCCCCCTAAAACACTGAGATTACAGACGTGAGCCACTGAACCCAGCCTAAAAAAAACATTTCTGGTTACAGCATCATACATTGCTATGTCTCAAACAACTGAGACAAAATAAAGGTAAGATGTTCCCAGAAAACTGTTTTAAGTATATCTGGAAAAAGTGAAAAATGTCTCTACTCTGTTTGCATCCAAATTATATGGCATGTCTTTTCTTTTCTTTTCTTTTTTGAGAAGGAGTTTTGCTCTTGTTACCCAAGCTGGGGTGCAATGGCACCATCCCAGCTCACTGCAACCTCCACCTCCTGAGTTCAAGCAATTCTCCTGCCTCAACCTCCTGAGTAGCTGGGACTACAGGCGTGCGCCACCATGCCCAGCTAATTTTTGTATTTTTAGTAGAGACTGGGTTTCACCATGTTGACCAGGATGGTCTCGATCTCTTGACCTCGTGATCCACCCGCCTCGGCCTCCCACAATGCTGGGATTATAGGCGTGAGCCACCGCGCCCTGCCGGCATGTCTTTTCTAATGGACTCCATTGCCCAGGTATTCAGGGGTTCTTTGTTTTCCACAGTTAGGGTTCACCTTCCTGCCCGCTAATATATCAATTACCTATTGTTGTATAACAAACTACATCAAAATTTGGTGGCTTAAAACAATCTCTATTTCTCAGGATTCTGTGGGTTGAACTGATGGTTCTTCTGTTGCCCCACTTAGTGGTACAGCCTAAGCTTCTTGGGTGGCAGAAGCATCCCAGAGGGCAAAGATAGGACACTGCATGGCATCTTGAGGCCTTAGGCTTTGAAACTCATCCAACACAAGTTCTGCTCCATGTTAGTAGCCTAAGCAAGTCACAAAGCCATCCCAGATTCAAGGCATCGGGAAATAGACTCCATTTCTCCATAAGAGAAATGGCAAAATATTGTAGCTATATTTTTCAATCTGCTACAGACCAGATTAATTATGGCAAGAAGTGCAAGCTGGAGTTCTCCATTTACCTGGCACCCCCAGGTTTCCACAGCTGTAGTTGAGCCCTACGACTCCATCCTCACCATAAACACTACCCTGGAACACTCTGATTGCACCTTCATGGTAGACAATGAAGTCAGTCATCTATGACATCTCTCATAGAAACCTCAATATTGGGTGCCTGACCTACAGTAACCTGAACTATCTGATATTGAATCTGTTGTAGCCACTTGAATATTAAGAATGCACTTGGCTTCAGTAACAGAAAAACCTAGTTGCAATAGCTTAAACAAATAAAGATTTATTTTTCTTAAGTAACAACGCTGGAGGTAAGCAGCATCAGTCCAGTTGCTCCATAATGCCAGGTCTGGTACCTGCAGTTCTCTTAACTCTTCCCTATGCTTGTCACCTCATGGCCACAAGGTGAGTTCACCTTCAGACATCATATATAAGTTGCAAAAGAGGATTTAGTGATCATAAATGCACTTATATTGAAAACGAATATTTTAGTCAGGTGCGGTAGTTCACGCCTGTAATTCCAGCATTTTGGGAGGCTGAAGCGGGCAGATCATCTGAGGTCAGGGGTTGAAGACGAGTCTGACCAACATGGTGAAACCCTGTCTACTAAAAATACAAAATTAGCCCGACATGGTGGCATATGCCTGTAATCCCAGCTACTCAGATTGAAGCAGGAGAATCGCTTGAACCCAGGAGGCAAAGGTTGCAGTGAGTCGAGATTGCGCCATTGCACTCCAGCCCAGGCAAGAAGAGCAAAACTCCATCTCAAAAGAAAAAAAATGAATATTTTCTTTTTTTTTTTTTTTTATAGAGACGGGTTTCATCATGTTGGTCAGGCTGGACTCAAACTCCTGACCTCATGATCCTCCTGCCTCGGCCTCCCAAAGTGCTGGAATTATAGGCGTGAGCCACTGCACCTGACCTAAAAATTAATATTTTCATATCAATGTACAATTTACAAGTTTGGGGTGGGGAGCAGTGGCTCAGACCTGTAATCCCAGCACTTTGAAAGGCTAAAGTGAGCAGATCACTAGAGTTCAGGAGTTTGAGGCCAACCTGAGCAAAACCCCATT